CCTTCTTTTGCTAATCCAAGAAGGCGAAGACTAAAACGTGTCTTGGGAAGGCCAACATCTATAAATTTCAAGTAAGGTTTTCCTACCAATTCAATGACCTTTTCCATAAAGCCTTTGAGATCTCTATCCTTTAAAATGTAGCACAATTTTCATGAAAATGTGATAAATTCAATACCGGAAAATCACTTATTATTACAAACAAGAACTGTTCCCAAGACCAGAACGTTTACTAAGAACTGACACATAAAAAACAATTACATTCCAAATAGCGTTCATTGTGTTGTGAACAATTATTTGTTTGAGTGGAGGAATAAGAACAGGCACGAATTTGATAACGTAAAAATAAATGTTGGTTTGATTCATGTTGTCAACAATCACTTCACTAACAGTTGTTTCCTTAACAAATGGTTCGAATTTAAGAAGTTGGAAGCAACCATGCGACAAACCTTTGAAATAGTCTAATAAATTAAATTGTACTACTCGAAAATGTATTAAAAGAGTTGGTTTTCGACTTGATTGAAGAATAACTCTTCCTAACTCTTCTCTTGACCATATAATCAAAATAACTTTAATATAATGAATGTCAATGAAATGATTGTATACACAACAAATTTAAGATATACGATTACCCGGATCATCATCTGTATTTTCGTTATTTTCGATAAACTCATTTTCGTTTAATCTTTTCGTCATACATTTTTTAGTGCGTTTTGATTTCGACTTGAAGATAGTCCAAGATATCAAACATTTAGATTGGCACCTTTGTAGACAATGATTGTGATAACCATGTTCACACATGGATATATACACTACAATTATTCAAATTAGCATAGTTGGCGTAATCACAATATACGTAATTGCGAAAAATGTTTGTGGATGGTTTCCTAGAAGTAACAAAGCCTCTTGGAAGGTAACTATGGGTTATTTCGTAAACTAAAGATGGCAATTAACACCATTAGATGAAGTTTTGGTAATCAAAGGATACTTGATGTTGTGGTTGCTCCAAGACTTGTATCTACCGAACCTAAACAGAATGCAAGGTCGAATTTAAAAGAGTTAATTTTTGTATTATTCATTTCGTCGAAAGTTTGTTTCGTCGAATGTTCATTTCGTCGAAAATTATTTCATCACAAAAAAAAACTTCATTAAAAGATCCCACGAACGAATATACGCAAACCTTTAATTATATCATGAAATAAATATTCATTAAACATCTTAAATTCTAAATAACCAAAATTCTCTCATTTAACCAAAACGCCACCTCGCCAGATACTGTTTCATTAGTTTTTGTGGTGATTTTTACCAATCTGATCATGAATAGAATCGACGACATTTTTGATGATGATAAAAAAATTGCAGGTAATAAAATAATATAATACTATATTTTAAATCAAAATTAAACGGCAAAAATAGTAATAGTAATAATAATCATAGAAACAATTTGAAAAACTGTTGAACAAATTAAATAAAGTATCAACAACAACAATAAAAATAAGAATGGTGAACGAAGAAGTAATCAAAGAAAAGGGTTTGGTTTTCGATTTAGATTACGAATCAAAAATTAGTATTTACAAAAAATACAAAAGCGGTTGATAAACATTGTTTATCGATGTTGTACGTGAAAATGAAATTATGTGAATTCGCAATTCACATATGTGAAATTCAAATTTACATGTGTGAAATTCAAATTCACATAATTTCATTTTCACGTACAACATATAAAATTGTGAAGATCTTTATCAAAAATATTCACAAATATTTTTTTTCTTGAATTCCTCTCAGAAATTAAAAAAATAATGAAATTTACAATAATATCAAGATTTAGCTCGACTCCTCGATCAAAACTACTTCGGTTTGTAATTGTAGTATCAATTTTTACAATTTTATGGAATATAGTTGAAGGAGCGATTTCAGTAGTATTTGGATTGGAGGATAAATTGATTAGTTTGTTATTTTTTGGAATAGATTCATTTATTGAAGTTGCATCAGCATTTCTAGTATTATGGAGGTTATTAAATGAATTAAGGTCAGATAAAGAAAATATGACTTTAGAGAAATTAATTGATATTGAGAGAAAGGCCACAATTGGTATAGGAATATTATTTTGTATGCTTGCAATTGGAACGTTTTCCAATTCAATAATTTCATTAGTGCAAAGGAAAGTTCCTGAGACATCATTAGTAGGATTAATTATTTCATGTATATCAATATCATTTATGGGTTTTCTCTGGATATTCAAATATTATCTTGGCAAATTACTTAATTCATCTACAATAGCATCAGATGCTAAATGTTCATTAGGATGTATTGTAATATCATTGGTTTTATTTTTAGGCAGTTTAATTTATTTAGTTTGGAAAAATTTATGGTGGATAGATCCTAGTGTAGCATTGATTTTAACAGTATTGTTTGCAAAAGAAGGGATAGAAATGATTATTTGGGCAAAAAGTAAAGATTTTAATGGGGGATGTTGTAAAAATGATTTAATTAAAAACAATTGCAACAATAAAGACGGAGACAAAAATGGTGGATGTTGCGATAATGAGAAAGGATGTAGGATTACAATAGAAATTTCTAATAATAGTGAAGATAAATCTGGGGTCTCCAGAGAATCTATTGAGTCTACAATAAATCAATCCAATAATGATGATGATGATGGTCAAGATAATAGTGATGTCAAATCAGTAAAAGTAGATAAATGTTGTAATGAGAAAGACAAAAAAAATAATGAAGAACTTATAATTGAAAAAAATAATAACCAAAATTTCAAATCTTCAAATTGCTGTGAAAAAAATTTTAAGTGTAATAATAATTGATATTTTTTTTGAGAAAAATCTTATTGTATTATTTTGTAATTTTTTAATACTCGGGTAAATTTATTAATTGTTATTATTATTATATTATTATATTATTATATTAATCTCAAGGCCTCGCTTTAGCACAAAAAAAAAAGAATTATTATATTAATATTATTATTATTTATATTATGAATGTTATTTATATTATGTTATTTATTATTATACAACATAAAAAAATCACACAAACTAATATATCGCTATACTAATCATTTAAAATTATTGCATTTTAATATTAGAATCAAATATAAGTGAAGAGCAAGCTCTTTGAATGGTTAAATGATTTTTTTGAAAAATTAAAAATGAGGTTTATTATAACATCAATCTTTGAAAATATAAATTATATTTTTTAAAATTTTTTATTTGTTCCAATGAAATGTTTTTATTCATTAGAATTAATTACACGATAACTTGAATATTCAAGTTCAACACCTGTTTTTACAAATTTCAATGATGTAAAGACACCTGCCGTAATTGGTTATTTGCGGCAATGGTAACTACCATAGGGTAGTTACCATTATAAAATAATTACGGCTGCCGCAAATAATTAATTGCAAATTTTATTTTTCACAAACGACCGACAAATTAAATTCATAAATTACAATTCAAAAAATTTAGTTACTGCGGATCACAAGAAAATTTTCTCACAACTAATATGACTAATAATACTAATTAATTATATTAATCTTGAAACTTATTTGCGGTAACCGTATCTATTTGCGGTAGCCGTCATTTATTTACGGTAAATGGTAGCTACTACCAGCTATTTACGGCAAATGGTAGATACCAACCCAATCATTTACGGCAAGTGTCTTTACTACAATTGTTTTGGGACATTTTATCTTTTTTTGGAAATGGTACAATTTGGACGATTTCCGAATATGAAAGGAAGTTTTCTTTTTATTATTCTGATTTTTGGTTTTTATTTGGCAAGCTATGATAATGACACATCAGATATTCTAGAGAAACCAAGCATTAGATCTCATGGATCTGGACATGAATGGACAACTTTACATAGAGTTATATCCTTGATATTAATGAATCTGGAAAATTGAATATTGGTACTTCTATTTCGATAAAGATTAAGATCTTTGAATTTTAGACATAATAACTATGATTTTAACAATGCGCGGATTTAACTAGTTCACAGCAGTCCATAACCTTGCTTAAGCGTTAGCAATAATTTTTCCTAAACTCAAACCAATCTGTTATTGCATTAGAAAAGCCACGATACCATTTGATATTAGATGATGAATGATTTTGCAATTACTTTTAGTATTTTACTAAAGATATTAGATGAAATGAAGCGGCTTCTGTTCCCTGCACATCACTTTTTTAAATCTCATCCATTGCCCATGCTATTTCTTGGAATCACCATCAATATAGTTCTACGCCATACTGCACATAGATACCATCGACGGTTGACAAACAGAGTGAAGTATAATGTTTTTTCTGGTGCTTGGTGAATAAAGGTATTCTCAACACTGGTGGCACGAGTGGGTGTTCCATATTATTATTTATTTTAAAAGGTAATGGTGATCATCACAGAAATTTCCAAAAATCGTTATGGAGTTATTAAAAAGTCAAGATATTCGTTACACAATTCAATGTCAGTTTTTTTATATATACTGTAGTTAATTTCTGATTTTTTTTAGTTAATTTCTGATTTTCTTTAATTAATTTCTGATTTTCTTCAGTTAATTCCTCAGCTATGGTTGTTAATACAGAAATATTAAGTTCCAACATGGCATCCATAATTTTGGGAAAAATTTTTTTTTCTTTGATAGATATTTTATTTGCAAGAGGGATTTTTTATTTATTTTTTTATTTTTTTAAAATGTAAATTCATCCTTTATATACGTATATATATATATTAATCATAAGAATTTGTTATTCAATAAATTGATTTTGTCCAAATAAATGTTAAATGGCAATTGCACAATTGGCAAAGTTACACTCGAGTTGTTATTGTTAGATATAATTATTTTTGAATCAGGGACGCACAATTAAAAATGCTCATTATTTTTTATAAAAAGAGAGATATACAGTATATATATACAACATTTGAAGAAATTATTTGAACAAGAAAACTGGTCGTATGTCTACTTCAAAAGAAGTTATTGATATTATATTTAATAATAATTATTAATTCGCAACTAAAGTGTTCTTCCCAGCAATATATCTCACAAAATCTTTATCATAGGTAATAAGATAAGACATTGCAATACAAATAACAAAATTCAACGAATAATTGAATACAGAATCTAAATCAAATAGTCTAAATGCATCTATAACTGTATTAACATTCAATAAAGTTGCAATAAAAATTCTGGATAGATTCCAGTATAAGACAGCTGAATATATTGTCAGATTGGATTTTTTATGCTTAACATGATTAACACTAGTACTTGTACTTTTACAATCGTTGATAGTACTGCTTAAAGTTTTATTGGCTGAGCCCATTATTCTGAATAATCGAACTGATACATAAACATCAATCAAGAAATCCAATCCCACATAACTAAATTTGTTCAAAAATTCGGATCACAATAAACAGGACGAGGATTTGGTGGTGAAGATTTCAAAGTAATTGTTGGTTCTAATAAGAAAATGTATATCTAAAAAACAAACACACGGTTATTATTTATTATATGATAGTATAGGATATAATTATAATTATATATATACTGTATATATAGTTACTTGTAAAATCGTTCTTATAAAAAAAAAAAAAATAAACAATCTGCTTGTCGAACTTTGTATCACTAATACATTTTATAAAAATGCAGATAGAGGAGATCTATAAATCAGAAAAATGATCACGTAAAACAAATGAGATGATTTTACATGCCGACAGGTCGACAAATGGCGGTAGTACGTAGTATACGAATTGAAGAGTAAGTCGAATCCCTTCCTGTAAAGTTGAAAATGATCCTTCAATATCAGAAATGTTTATTGGTCTTTTACGTATTCTTAAAATTAAAATCATGGCATTATGATAAAATACCTAACAACATTCAATGAAGGTTAAAAGGATTGGTTACGTTTTTTTAAATTTTCAAGATTTATTTACCATTGAAGCTACACCAAATATATACGTCGTCAAGTAAAAAACTCTGTCGTATTCTGATAGCATTTTATTTTTTATTTAAAGAATAAAAATTTGAGAAGAAACTATACAATAATATATTTATAAATAATTGTCACAAAAATATGTATTATTTGCCTAAACATGAGAACTAATACGTTCATATTTTTTTTGTCACGTTTCATTTTAAAAACAGGAGTTTGTATTGTATTTAAAATATTAATTTATAATTATTTCAATAAACAATTAAAATATTTTTTTTAAATAATGTAAAGTTTGTTGTTACACGAAATGTTGTACAGAACTCATTGCTTCTGAAACTTCGCCAGTATATAGTTGTTACCTCTCTAAATTGGAGATCAAGCTCAGATCCAATTCAAATCCAGTCTTTATCATGTGAAAACAGTTTTGAAATGGTATTTTTTTTCAAAATAGGGACTGAAGTTTAAACCAGTCCATTTCTATATAATCTGACCCATCTCAGCTCTTATTAACTCAAGTTGGGTATTAGCTATTTGTGTCTTTTCATTTATATCTTTGTATTCTTTAATCTTTTGTTTGGTCAAAATATCGTAATTTTTTAATTGATATTCTGATGACTTAATCCACTTTTTTTTAAAAAATTGATGGTCTTTGTTAATCTAATTATATTAATATTAATATACAAGACTTCAATATCATCATCTTCCGCAATAATGTAATCTCCATTATTTTCTCCCTCGCCCTCATCAATCATTTCAACTAATATTTTATCTTTCTTGATTGCGACATCATCTTCGTCTGAAGATTTCGTCAAATGGAACACACATGACGAAAAAAATTAAAGCATTAGAAGAAATAAAAAAAGATGTAAGCTAAGAAGTATATATGCTGAATTTTTTGATAACAGAAAATGAGAAATCAAAGACTTGAACAATCAATGCAATGATTTAATCCACAAAACGCCGCAGCCAAAACTTTACCCCTTCCTCTTCCCGATGTTGTTCTTCTTCCCCTCGATGTTGTTTCTCTTCTTTTCGATGTTGTTGTTCGAAAACTTACGCGTCTTATTTTCCTGAACCCTCTTCTCCAGCTCTGAGCAAAGTCACTCAGCTTTCTACTAGTTGGTCTTTTTGATGGATCCACATCCCAACACCTCTGCATCATTTGCAACACTATAGATATCAGACTCTTTGGTGTTTTTTTTGCCTTTAGTACTTCGGGTGCAACATATGATACAATTCCATAGTAATAGACTTTATCTGGTGATTTGTCATCAACTGGTCCACATAATCCCAAATATGTAATAAAACACTTACCTCCTTGCAATAGTATATTACCACTATGTAAATCACAATGGATTAAATCTTTTTCATGCAAACATAAAATATTGTTGTTAGGTTTTTTTAAATTAAAACAAATGCATAATTTCCATTATCTGGGAATTTAGTTATACCATAACACTGAGCAATCAACCTTGATTTAATTTTACAATCATTCATTGCCTGTAATTAAATATATATAAAAATCAATTGGTATTATAATACAGTATTAGTATTGCTTATTTTGTTTTAAATGACAGCTAGCCAAAAATAATTGCTGCAAATTATCCACCGCCAATAATAATAAAGTTTCAGCTAAAAAGCCACACTTTTTTTACAGAAAAAGAATTAATCCGCATTTTTTTTAAATTGATGGTCTTTGTTAATCTTATTATATATATGATGATGATGAATCCTTAATATTAATCTGTAAAAAATATAAACGTGAGTTGATTTCATTTTTAAAAAAATTCTATTGCAAAGAGTGTAAAAAATATTTCGTCAAATGGAACACATATCACGAAAAAAATTAAAGCATTAGAAGAAATAAAAGATGTAAGCCAAGAAGTATATATGTTGAATTTTTTGATAACGAAAATGAAGAAATCGATGACTTGAACAATCAATGCAATGATTTAATCCGTGAAACGCCGCAGCCGGAACTTTACTCAACAAAGACAAGATTGATGATCTAGAGTGAGTGTTTTGCTTGAGGGACACATAACATTTCATTTTGCATCTTACATATAATTTGTATATTGTGTATATATATAACACAAGACAAGGTTGATTTGATTATTATTATTATTATTATTATTGTTATTATTGAGATTGTCTTGCTTGAGAGCGAGGGACACCCTAAAACACAACAATAATAGGGCGTGATGATTTCACATTTTGCATCTCAACAATTACACAACATAATAAAAGTTTAATATTAATATATATTTGAGAATATATTTGGGATAAATAGCTATGAAAGAATTCCTATTTAAGGATTATTATTTAGGGGAACGTGTAAATTTTCAGCATAATAATAATATTTATCACGACTCACTTTGCATTAGTATTAGTATTAGTATTAGCAAATCACAATATCTATTTCCGAAAAATAATAACGAGAACGAAAATAACAAAAGATTATTATTATTTATTATATATATATAAACATACATATTATATTAAATGAATTTTGTTAAAAAATAAGCGCAATATACATGTTTCAGCAGCAACAGCAGCAAACACCACCCCAACCACCTTCACATATCTTTTCAATATTTGTTAAATCATTACGAGGAATCCATTGAAATTATTATATCTTGTTGCTTTAAGTTGTGTACTTTTAATAAATTTTAAAGCTCTTAAGAAATCTAAGTTAGAGATTATTACACAACTTTGATAAAAAGAAAAAATATTTATTATTTGGTTGCAATTTAAATTGTTACAAATATATCGATAAAAAAAATCTTGTTGTCAATAAGATTTTTGAAATGTATTCATATTAATATGTCAAGCTCATCCGACGAGGACGTTTCTCTGGATCAGCATCCGTACGCTTGTACGGTTTATTAAGGCATCTTAAAGGAAATGAAAAGCTATGCTTTTTATACTTCCTAATGATAGATTATGTTTTTGGATGCCAATTCAAAAGAATTTGAGAAAACCGGTCTCAATCTTCGTTGCATCTTAATAATTCATATGATTCGTTGTTTTGCAGAATTTTTGAATATTTTAATTTTGTTATAAAAATTAGTCAATTCCTCAAGAGCTGAATAAATTTTGTCTATATATTACCTTTACATTTTTATTTACACTTTTATTTGACTCAATTTTTTTTTATCCTTTTTATTATTATTCTACAATAATAAAAAGTTTTGTATTATATTATTGTTACCAGAGCACTAGGATTGTTGGTTTTATCTCGATTTCCAATTTATATATTGAATTCCCGATTTATTCAATACATATATATTAATATCAAAATTCTATAGTGACAATAATTCAAAACTTCAAATATATTTGTAGAATAATAGAAAAGGTATAAGCTTTTAATAACAAAAACCAAAATGTTTCTTGTTGATAAAGAAAATTTTTTACATTATAATTATTAAACTTGAAAACCAATAACTAAACCAAAACGTTCCTTGGTTATAAAAGAAAATTATAATTATTTTAACGATATCAAATATTTGTCATCTTACAATAATAAATATTGTTAATTCTCAACACTACTATTAGATCACACAAAAATCATTTTTCTGAAACATTCCTTCTGATATAGCATCAAAAAGAAAAGGTCTTGGAAAGAAACTCGTCATTAGCAGAATGCATTAGAACCCCAAATTGTGATTGATTCATCAGCAATATATGTTCCTGGTGCCAGTATAACACAGACGAAGGATTTCTGCAATAAAAAGGAAGTCAAAAAACTATTAGAATCAATTATTGATAAAAATATTACCATTTAAAAGATATTTTTTCGATTCATTTTCATTTTATATTCGATTCATTTGATTCAATTTTATAATAGTAATCCAATTGTTATAATTATATTACTTTATTAAGAATCAATTTTTTTTTGTTGTAAATAAATAATGATAGCATAATAAAAGACCTATGATGTAAATTAACAACTACTACTTGGTTGCTACCCTCTAGATTTTTACTTATTTAACTTAACTTTATGAGTCAAGTAGTTTTATTAAATTAACAAAGGAACTACAGTGAACCCTCTATAAGTGCACCCCCTCGGGAACATAGTGCTATTTCTTGTGAGCGTGTGCATTTATGGAGGGTGATTTTATAAGCTCTCTATAAGCTTGGGGATGAGATGGGCCGTGCATTTATGGAGGGTATACATAGTGCGTGCATTTAGGGAGGGTGCATTTAGGGAGGGTTTACTGTATTATGATACTTGTTGTTGAACAATTAGCAACATAATTTATTGTTGTTTTAAATAATTAAAATTATCTATGAAATCACTACCTCTTCTCACAAGAATTTTTTTTTTGTTAAAAAAATTATCCAGAAAATGCTTTTAACAAATTTTTCATCTGATCTTTTAACTGAAATATTCGAATATCTAGAAGATGATTACAAATCATTATATTCTTGCATTTTAATTAACAAACAATGGAATTTAATTAGTATTCCCAAGTTATGGAGAAATCCGTTTCATTCAGAAAGAAGCATTCGGATGATAATAAGTTGTTTATTAGTAGAAGACAAGAAGTTTTTAGTTAAAAATAAACCTGAATTAAAATTTCTTAATTTACCAAAAGAACCACCATTATATAATTATGCTAAATTTGCTACCAAATTAGATTATAATAGGATTTCTACTTTTGAAAAATATCTCCGGAGAAAAAATAATTTTGACCTGTTAAAGATGATTATGAAGTTCATTTTAAAATATTCAAAAATCAGAGAATTTACTAATCATTTCGGAGAGATGAACTGGGATTGGTTAACTGAAGATCCTAATTTCAATAGTTGTTTCTGTAAACTTAATGAACTGATCATAGGTTTCTCTAACAACCATAAATTTATTAAAAGGTTAATTTCTAGTAGCAAAAATATAAAAAGTATAAAAATATTCATAAATCATTGCACTTCAGACAACAGAGAATTAGCCGAACTAATAAAAGCACAAAATAAAATTTCGAAACTGGACTTTTTTGGTTACTATAATTTAATCTTTTCAGACTATTTCAAAGAAGCAATTTTAACACATTCAAAATCTATAACTTTTTATGGAAACCATGGAGGGTGCAACTTAGACTCTATATTAATAAAAAATTTTCTAAATTTAAAACATCTAAAATTAAGTCATTTTAATCGTAGTTACCATTCAATTGAGGGAAAATTAAACTCATCTCTGTTTACAAAGATAGAATCTTTAAGTTTAGATTTATACGATGAATCATTTTTATCGAGTTTATTAGAGTTTGTGAAAAATCGTAAAGAAAATCTCAAGAAATTAGAAATTATGGGTATGGCAAACAATACAGAACACTTGAAAGAAATTCTTCAATTGATAAGCATTAATTGCCAAAATTTAGAATATTTAACTATTTTCTATCAAAATAAACTTGATCAAGAGTTGACTGAGATATTCAACAAGTGCAAGAAAATAAATTTTGTTAGATTAATTGCTTTTGATCATAACCCAAATTGTACATTTGATGGTGACAAAATAATAAAAATTTTAAATGAAGTGTTACCAAAAAAATTGAAACGCTTGGAATTTAATCAAGAAGTAACTATTTATAACAAAAAACTTCTCAATCTTTTAATCAGAAATTGGAAAGGATCTAAACTTTTTACAATAGTGTCAGTTAAAGTTAACTGGTTTGGATCGAAAGTTCAAGAAACAAACAGAAAACTATCAAAAACTATAAATTCTGAAGAAAATGACTTTACGCTTGAAATTATTGAAAATAATACAAATGTACTTTATTGTAATTAAGTTTTTTGCTTCTTTTATTTGATGTTAAACTATCAATATTTAGTCATTAATTAAAGTTTATTATTTATTATCTTGTACTATTTTATTTCATTTCAGATAAAAAAGTCAAATGATTTTATTTTTTATCAATATTTCTTCACCACTATTATAACAAAATTATCTGTAGCATACAACAAAAAAGAATTTTTGGCTAATAATAATAAATAAAGCTTCTAGAAAAAATTTCATTATGAAAAAAAATGTAGATAAATAAAATAATTTCAACTATAGTTGGCTCAGTATATATAAGTAGGTCTGCATCATTCGACATTTTTTAATATTAATATATTAATAATAATAATATAGTGCAGGACATCTATAATAATAATGGGTTCAATATGAATGTTACACACTAAACCAAAATTGTCCCCGTTGAAATTCATAAAATTCAATGTTTATATACTTTGTAAACTTTTCAAAATAAAATACATTTTTGATCCAAAAAAATTTGTTCCCCAAGGTGAAAGAAAAATAGCAGTGAAGTTTTTTACATCTAAAGTTTTATTTCATTGATTTTTTCAAAAAAGAAAATTTTTTTTCTAAATACACCAATACATTAAAGTTCATTTACTAAAGTTTTAATTAAAAACATCATATTTTTTGCCAATATCTTTTCTTTAAAGGTTATTAGCCTTTAAATTAATAAGAGTATAGAAAATTTTTACATTTATATACTGTAGTAACCCCAAGGCATAAGTAACCAAATCAATTTGGTTGCTTGAAAAATAATAGTAAAATATCCTCCAATTCTACCCAAACACAAAGTTGATTGAGTGCCAAATCAGATTTTGGTGAATTTTGAATTTGTAATTTTCAGCTGGATCCAGTGTGATGATATTTCTTTAGGTATATAATTATATAATTTGAATTTAATATTGGTGTAATTTTTATTGATTACAAAAATTTGATTTATTATTGTTTTAATTAAAAATATCCTACAATATGTTATATTTTTTTCAGAATATGATGTATGTGTTCTTTTGAAGATCAAGGAACCAAATAAATGAACACAAATTATAGTTTATTCTGCTTTCTATACTAGATGCCCATATAGATAATTATAATTTACCTTTTGTTCAAGGTAAAGAATTATTGATAATTGTTTTAATATCACAAATCCATTTGCTAATAAGATCAATAATTACTTTGTGATAGAGATGTTAATCAGTCCTGAACAGCCTGGTTCAGTCCTGGGACTTTAAGTCCCAGAAAGAG